GATAATTGCATTAAACTTTTTTGTGACGTTTATTTTAAACAAATGCATGTACATGAATGGCAGGATGGGTGTTGGAAGGTTTGGACACAATTAGTCAGTCAGGCTGTAAACTGTTACGTGTTTGACAGTTAACTGAAAAATAAAACAAATTTCAAAGTCACAACCATTTTAAATTATTGATTGTCTTTTTTCTTTTCTTTTGTTATTTGTTTGTTGTTTAACGCCGCATTCGGCAATATTTCAGCTCTAGGACGGCGGTCTGTAAATAATCGAGTCTGGACCAGACAATCCTGTGATTAACAACATGAGCATCGATCCATGCAGTTGGGATATAATGACATGCATCAACCAAGTCAGCAAACCCGATCCCGTCAGTTGCCTCTTACGGAAAGCATGGGTTGCTGAAGACCTATTCTCCACCTGGATCTTCACGGGTCTGTCACCTTTGTCCCAAATCATCTTGGTGTTCACATATATGTATCTCTATCACTAGATATCAACCTCTTGGTCAGAGTCGCCTCTTAAGACAAGCATGGGTTGCTGATGACCAGTTATAACCATTTTAAAAGAGAAACGAATCATCACATTTCATTGACTGACACGTGATATACACTCTGCGCATGTGTTTGAGAAATCAGAGTAAGGTCACTTAATGTATGCATAAACATGAATTAATATAATATTTGATGAACATAACTGTTAGTGTCTGTATTCTGTTTATATAGCATATAACTCATCAACACTGCACGAACGATATGATTATGAAACCCTTAACCCCCCAAAGGTCGGTTTATGAAAGGAGGTCATACACGTTTTTTTATCATGTAATCCTCCGATGCCGAGGTCTATTTCATCAAGGGGAGGAGCGGTGGGGTCGCCTAGTGGTTAAAGCGTTCGCTCGTCACGCCGAAGACCCGGGTTCGATTCCCCACAAGGGCACAATGTGTGAATCCCATTTCTGGGTCCCCCGCCGTGATATTGCTGCATATTGCTAAAGGCGACGTAAAACCATACTGCATCAGCAAGTGGATTTAACTGGGTTTGGTAAAATGTAAATGGAACCAACACGATCTATACAGTGCCAATTTACGTTAAGTAATGAGCTGACAAGGTGATGCTTCATGAAATACGAGTATGACTGGATTTCTGGTCCATCACTTGATTGTCTGGTTCGTTTACAGGCCGCCGTCGCATTGAAGGAACGTTGGCGGATCCCACCCACCAACCTTTTGAAAACCAAATGTGGTATGTTGTTGTAGGCAGTATAATTGACTGAGAGGATTTTGATTTTTTGGACCCCTCCCTTTTTAAAATGCTGGATCCGCCCTTGAGAAGTACCTCTGTGATGTGTCAGGCAACAAACATAATTACAGAGCTCCAGATAAGCTTCTGGTGTTGTGGGTATTTTACCCATGCATTTTAAAATCATTGGGTATCAGTAATTCTATCTGGGTATTCAAATTTCTGTTACCCACTAGTTTTACACATGTGGGTATTTAAGTTAAATATTCATCTAGTCCCTGCAAACTGGTGTCGTGTGGGTTCGAGAGCTTTATAGGACTCAAAAATACCACGATACTTCCACAAGAAATTTGTGATGGCAAATGATCATGCTGTAACTGTCATGGTGGAGTTTGGCAAGGTTGAAGGAATGCCCGTTTATAATTTCAAAATAAGGTCCTGATTTGCTAATCGAATACGCAGGGTTACTTCACAATATTTTGATGATACGCACAAGTTTGATTTTTGTAGCGTATCTGTAATGTTCGTTGCGTATTTGATACGCTTGGATTTTGTTTAACTGCATATTTCTGCATTTCTGATGCGTATTTTACGCAGATACGCAGCTTATCTGGAGCTCTGTTAATTATTTCCTTTATCGCGAATACCTAATGGTATCACTGGTTTTCAGTGATCCATTCATATACTTTTAACCCCAATTTGTCCTTCACGCCCAGTGGAATCTGAGACTGGTTATTCTTTCGCGTTGACGTTTTACATCTCTGTGTCAGTGTTATTATTTTGAACACATTTCTTGATGTAACGCCATGCAGTGCCACTCATTCTCAACCATCTGCTCTTTGCAGCTCTCCAAGAGAAGTGACTCCGGATCAAAGGGGCTTCTGTCGCTAGCATCAACTGGAGCATGTCCGGCCGATGTACGGCAGTTGTCGTTATTGTTTTTCGCCAACCAATGACCATTGTTTGATTATGCACTTAACTATTTTCGGTGAATGTGTGGTATATGACAGTATCTTGATTTGTGAGGTGAGGTGAAATTGGGTTTAACGTCGCGTCCAAGATTATTTCACTTATATATATAATAATATATAGCGACGTGCATGTACCTGCTTGTACTAGGCCGGACTGATGCCGATTTATAGTGCTAGCCGACTGAGATACCATGCCGCAGTTTAACATGAATACCCCACTCAGACACAGTTTACTGACTCCGAGCCGACCAGTCCTTGCTTTAACCCCTTAATACCGAGCGCCAGACAGGGTAACAACAAGTAGCATCTTTTAACGTCTTTTGGTATGACGCGGCCGGGGATCGAACCCCGGACCTTCCGTTCTCCGGACGGACGCTCTACCATTAGACCACGGAGGCGGCCCCAGTGTATATGGTATTGCTGCACAAATAATACGTAACGCCAAATCACCATTCCAAAACACCTGGTGCGGCATCGGTTGGTGACAAGGTACGTTACGCGTTGTGATGCAGAACCACAGTTTGTAGGAGTGAGTGAGTGAGTTGGGTTAAACGCCGCTTTTAACATTATTCCAGTTATATCACGGCGTGTCAGATTAATGTGAGAGGAAAGCCCGAAGTGAAGTAGGTCTCAGACGTTTACCACTTCGGTGAAACCCACGAGCACGGGCATTGTGCTGATAAACCAGGCGAACCGGGATTCGAACCCACAATCAAAGGTTTCGGGAGTGCCCAAGAGACGCAACTCTGCACAGCGAATCGCGGTGCCTTAGACAACTGGGCCACCCGTGCCCCCACAGTGTGTAGGGCACATTACAATTATGTGTCATAATATGAGGTGAGGTGAAATGGGATTTAACGTCGCGTCCGGGATTATGCACTTATATAGCGACGTGCATGCACGTGTGTGTGTGTGAGTGCATGCACGTGAGTGCGCGCGCGCGCGCGCGCGTGTGTGTGTGTGTGTGTGTGTGTGTGTGTGTGTGTGTGTGTGTGTGTGTGTGTGTGTGTGTGTGTGTGTGTGTGTGTGTGTGCTTGTACTAGTCCTGACTGATGCCGATTTATGGTGCCAGCTCACCCAGGTATCATGCCGCAGTTTAACATGAATACCCAACTCAGACACAGTATAATGACTCCGAACCGACCAGTCCTTATTTTAGCCCCTTTATACCGAGCGCAAGACAGGGTAACAACAAGTACCTTCTTTTAACGTCTTTTGGTATGACCGAATCCCGGACCTTTTGCTCTCCGGGCGGACGCTCTACAAATGGGGTATGACATGAAAACTGCCATATAATGAAATTGTAAAATACATCAATTTGCAAGTGAATACAATACATTTTCACCTTGTTTGGAAGACATTTTCACGGGAAAACGAGCTGAGCAGACGAGCAGACGACGCACCAAGGGACGTAACTCCAATTTCTTACCACCCGAGCTGATATCGACCGCTCATTCAAAATGCATCGACACTCCCAGCAGAGGGTGTAATTCGGGTCTAGGTATTACAACACTGTGAAATGACCCTCACACATATAACTCATCATGATTTAAGAGGCTATAAATAAAAGCGACAAAACACATTTCATATGCATCAAAATGTCATCAACATCAACAAGTCATCCTCATCCACCAGGGGTGTAATAAGGGTCTGGCCATTACAGCAGTGTGATATGACCTTCTCTATGTTGGCTCTATCGCACATGCAAAACGCCTCATATGAAGCCACGCCATGCTACACAGTGCACATGCTATCGTGAGGCAAATAAAGGGACGAAACCCTTTCCATATTCATAAGATTATCTGCCAATATCAGAGTCGATTGTACGATTCCGCCTATATCATGAGCAGGTGTTTATGAATCACTGTCAGACAGTGAGATATCAGATGTCGCGAAAAGGTCATCGTATCATGCCCTACTTGTGTCACCGTCACAAACACACACACACACACACACACACGCACACACGCGCACACACACACACACACACACACACACACACACACACACACACACACACACACACACGCACACGCACACGCACACACACACACACATGCAAAGACACACACACACACACACATGCAAAGACAAGTTACCTAAAAAATACATGAACGTATGTTACACGCTGTAAAAGTAAAAACCAGGGATTTGCATCGATCATCATGTTGGTCTCTGATGAGTCAAATTTGAAAATGTTCCCCATACAGTAGACTACGGTTAAAACGAACATGCTTATAACGAACTGACGGATATAACGAACTTACTTTTTGGTCACGACTATTTGCTGTAGTTATGTTGTATATAGACGGTTATAACGAACTAAAATTAGTAGTCCCTTTATATGCCTCATATGAAGCCACGCCAAGCAACACAGTGCACATGTTATCGTGAGACAAATAAACTGACAAAACCCTTTCCATATTCATAAGAAATCTCTGCCAATATCAGAGTCGATTGTACGATTCCGACTATAGCATGAGCAGGTGTTTATGAATCACTGTCAGACAGTTTTCGCGAAAAAGGTAAGCGTATCTGCCCCGCCGGTGACAACCGTCACGAACACATGCAAAGGCAAGTCAAGTGTTCACCTTAATAATCGGCAATTGCATCAGACATCATTGTAACAATTGGACAGAAGCAGAAGTTGGCCTCATGAGTATGCCACTTGTGTCTACTTCATTTGATTGTCCGCAGCAATGTGTGTAATTTGAAAGTATTTTTTAAAACTTTATTACATCTTTTTATGAAATATGTATAAAGAAAAACATAAGACAACACCATTCGTTAGGAGTAGGTGAATAATCATTTATTTTACATGGTAAGGAAATATCAAGAACAGGCATCCGGAAACCAAAAATACAGATTAATATGAACCAACGGTGTTGAGCAAACGGCGGAAGACAGAGAAACGTGCAACAAAACGTGGTCTCTATTCGGGTACTTTCGGGTGTGTCGGGGAGTTCGTTTGTCGACAGGTACACATGTGTTCGGATTTGGCTTCCTCCTGTTTATACCCCGTGTCTGTTAGTCCACACTACCCGTTACTGTATGTATGCGTACACCTGTGTGTGTGACGTGTATTGTGTAGAATACACCCCTTGTGTGGAGTTACTGTATGTATGTGTACACCTGTGTGTGTGACGTGTATTGTGTAGAGTACACCCATTGTGTGGAGTTACTGTATGTATGCGTACACCTGTGTGTGTGACGTGTATTGTGTAGAGTACTGCCCTTGTGTGGAGTTACTGTATGTATGTGTACACCTGTGTGTGTGACGTGTATTGTGTAGAGTACTGCCCTTGTGTGGAGTTACTGTATGTATGTGTACACCTGTGTGTGTGACGTGTATTGTGTAGAGTACACCCCTTGTGTGGAGTTACTGTATGTATGCGTACACCTGTGTGTGACGTGTATTGTGTAGAGTACACCCCTTGTGTGGAGTTACTGTATGTATGTGTACACCTGTGTGTGTGACGTGTATTGTGTAGAGTACACCCATTGTGTGGAGTTACTGTATGTATGCGTACACCTGTGTGTGTGACGTGTATTGTGTAGAGTACTGCCCTTGTGTGGAGTTACTGTACCCCCCTAATGTTTATGTACGCGTACCATCTATGTGTGTCTGGAGTTAAAATACACCCCATGTGTTAGTCTGTATCCCAGACCTCAGAGAATAAATTTTAATAGTCCAACTCAAGTCTAGAATGATTTGGCTTGTCGAGATGTCCTCAGCTCTGAAATTAAGGATTGTTTGGGGCTCCTTTTAAATTTTATGGTTTTTATTTTGCTGATATATATTCTAAATCGGGATAACTTTATTTCTGGGACTTAATGCCAGTCTACCCTTTTGTGTTCACTGTGTGTAATATACACCAGTAATGTGTCAACACGTGTATAATTGATGCGTTTCTGTCTGCCATATCACCCGTAATGAGTAACGAGAACACCCCGCTTGTCTGTTTTGTGTGTCCGTGTGTGTGTGCCTGTGTGTGTGTGTCTGTGTGTGTGCCTGTGTGTGTGTGTCTGCCTGTGTGTGTGTGTGCCTGTGTGTGTGTGTGTGCCTGTGTGTGTGTGTGTGTGCCTGTGTGTGTGTGTGTGTGTGTGTGTGTGTGTGTGTGTGTGTGTGTGTGTGCGTGCGTGCGCTCATATAAGGTCATCTTCACCCATGAAGGTCATGCAATGTAATTTCGCCTCAGAAAAAAATGGCAGGAATAAACACGTCTTGAAAGAAACAGCAAAAAGTTGAAAAACGGAGTCATTTGGCCTTAGAACTATAATATTATTTTTTCGAAGTATGATAAAAATTGTCTATGGCCCAGCAGCAAAAAATGTACGAGATGCATATAGTCATGCTGACGAAAATAACGTCACATCGTCGGAAAATGGTCATGAAATACTTTGATCCTTGTATGATATGGATTCATTACCCTGTACCTTGATTAACCCCTTTTCTGCTTTCCTGGTAACACCTGAGACAACTGGCCAGTGATATAATAGCGTGTCTGCTTAATTTTGGAGGGAAACCCGAAATGATGCAGGTCTAAGACGTTAACCACTTCGGTGACACCCACGGGTATGGTGCTGACAAAGCTAGAAACATAATCGGGTCGAACCGGGATTCGAACCCATACTCATTGGTTTCTGGTGTGTCCAAGGGACGCAACCCTGCACAGCTAATTGCGGCGCCTTAAACGACTGGCCATCCGCGTCTCTTGTTTCATATGAGCATTATTACCACAGAATGGACACGGATGTCTAAATGAGTACTTCCAAGTAACGTTACTCAACTCTTATATATTTTGAAAAACAGTTAAATTAACGTTTCTCTTGACCTTTCAACATATAGGTGCTTGTAACTCAAGATATTGGACGTTTTAAAAATGCAAAACATCTAACCGCTTTAATTATCAAAACACCAAAACACATGGTTATGAATAATTGAAACAATGAAAATCAAACCTGTTCAGCTCCTGCACTTTAACAATGCAACAGAGGCATGTTTGTTATTTAATCATCCGTAAGTGTCGCACAACGGACATTTGGGGAAATCTTGATCGATCTCCCACGTTAAATATCTTCAAGCACAGGACTTTGAAGGTACAGGCTAGTGACTCAAATCACGGTGGGGAAAAGCGCATTTTGGTCAAGCACAAAAATTGAAAATGAAGTTAAATAGTCGCTGCCACACAAACGTGTGAAGGCGATGCTGATGGGGGTAGATAACACTCACTCTCCAGTTATTATCGTCCTGGGTATTTCTGATCATGAAGATGAGGAGGTTTCTACCGCACGACGTTATAAAAGCAGCCATGTTTCTCATGGTCAAGGAAACAAGGAAGCAATGTGTGCTGAACGCGAGGACAGGAAAAATGCTACGTGTTCGTTACGGCATGTACAAAAGGTATAAACGATCATGCTGTTACCTGATCTCGAGGTCACCACAAGAAACTGTTATAATAGGACAACCCTGGGACTAGACGTTTGAGATATTTGTAGAAAAAGTGAAATGTATAAATTTGAGAAAAAAATAGTCCATTTCCGCTACACTATGTACACACGGTGCTAAATCCTTGCCTTGCACACAACCGACTCGAGTTATCTCCAAATTGAGTGAGTTTGTTTTTACGCCGCTTTTGGCAATATTCCGGCTATTTGACGCCTTAAATGGGCCTCGAAGTTGATTCAGAGTACTGTATGTATTGTTTATTACATGGGAGATATTTCAACTTTTCGAGCTGATGGTGTCAGTTTACGAGTGTCGATTGAATATCGTGGTAACATGTATAACACTTCTTCATGTGAATAGATCTGAGATTGATGCCGTTTGAATCTATCACAACATTATGACTGAGTATTGCCCAAAAGAATAGATGCACTGTAAAGAGAGAGCTAAAAAGTAGAAACGACGATTCAAGAAATACAAAATAAATGTCACTGGGACGTGACTATATACAACAAAAGGTTTGAGAATATCTGATGACACAGCCCAGTAGATGAACTGAAGCTGCTGGTACGGGTTCACACTTCAGAATAATAATAATAATAATATTAATAATAATAATAATAATAATAATAATAATTGAAGATACAAATAGAAATTGCTTATGTGAATATCGGAACGCATTGTGAAACGCGCATGCACGAGATATGGCGTCTGGGATTTTGATAAAGTTGGATATGCAAATTAAAATAATTCAAGGCCACAACAAACTGATTAAGGGGGGGGGGGGGTGAGTAAGTTAGGCTTTACATCGTCTTGAACAGGATTTAAGGTACACACGGGGTCAGATCTACAATGAATGAGGTCGTAGACTTTGCAAGTTCGGTGCAAAGGTCAGTCAAGTCCCTTGCGCTGACATATGCGACTTCGGGAACGATACCCACGACCAGCGGTAACCGTGTTTGTTTGTTTGTTTGTTTAACGCCGCACTCAGCAATATTCAAGCTATATGACGGCGGTCTGTAAATAATCGAGTCTGGACCAGACAATCAAGTGATTAACATCATAAGCATCGATCCACGTAATTGGGATACGATAACATGCATCAACCAAGACAGTGAGCACCCGATCCCGTTAGTCGCCTCTTACGGCAAGCATGGGTTGCTTAAGACCTATTCTCCACCTTGATCTTACCAAGTTTCAGAAGCCCTAGCATCACTTTTGCCTCGTCTTGTGTTGAAATAAAACGGTCTAACTATTATGCAGTTTAACTCTCGTGTCAACAACACTGACTAGAGCATTATTAAAATAATCACATTCCGTTTGTTTGATTATGCACTTTTCGAGCTTCCATTCAGGGACTACCACTGAACTCGTCTAGGCTGGCGAACTAATCTCATTGTATTCCTATCGCAAACACCTACTTACTCTGCCGTATAAAAAATGATTACAAAACAGGAACTACATGGACTGAAAAAGGTCCTATCGTAAGCTACAATGGTCAATGACAATGTTAAAAAGTCAAAAGATAACAATAGGTCGTGTGATGAAAGGTGTAGGTACCTACACGATACAGTGTACACTAACCCTGGTCGCTTCACCAAGCACCAGAGGAACCACAGTACAATGACATCACAGTGGCTTTGGAGAACACGGTCGTCACTCCACCTTGAGTATAATTGAAAATAAATATGAAATCTCCTCTTCAGTGGTTGAAAGGCAAAATTCTGGGACATACTCCAGTGGGTAATATTCCTTCAAGAAGTCCTATAAAAATGGTTGACCCACACACGATATACGTCACAGCGTCTGTTCAGAAGGGATCAACGGGTACAAGGAGTTTATGTATTGGTCCACTAGACCTGTATCCTGTTCACGAATATACTCGGTGGACCTGTATCCTGTTCACGAATAAGCCCAGTGGACGTGCATCCTGTTCACGAATATACTCGGCGGACCTGTATCCTGTTCATGTATAAGCCCAGTCGGCTTGTATCCTGTTTGAGTATGAACCCAGAGGACGTGTATCCTGTTCACGAATATACTCGGTGGACCTGTATCCTGTTCATGTATAAGCCCAGTGGGCTTCTGTCCTGTTTGCGTATAAACCCGGTGAACCTGTATCCTGTTCACGTATAAGTCCAGTGGACTGTTTCCTGTTCACGTATAAACCCGTGGACTTGATATCCTGTTCACGTATAAGCCCATTGGGTTTGTATCCTGTTCACGAATAAACTCGGTGGACCTGTATCATGTTCAAGTTTAAGCCCAGTGGGCTTGTATCATGTTCACGTATGTACTGCTCACGTATAAGCCCAAAGGACAGAAAATACTGGTAGTATGCTCTGATATTTCATCCTGGGTCCAAGGTTCAGGAGCCCATGTTGAAAAGGTAACAAGCGCAACATTCGCCACCACTCGCCCCTTTCCGAGACCTCTCGGAATGACCCGAGTTGTTCCGAATGACAAGTCACTGAAATAACCTTTTCCCAACACAAAACTCCTGACAAGACAGGGCGTGGCGTGACGTCACATGCTATTAGACACAACTACTTAACAATTTAACAAAACTAGTCACACGTCCTTTCAAAACATCCTTGTTTGTTCCCGTGATTTCATATTACCATATCTTGCACCCTGTATTGAACTCTTTTATCTTAAATGATTTCCTATCATAACGATGACTCGAACTTATTGTTTCTTTCTATGCCTCAAGATTCGCAAAACCATCCATATTTTCAGACAAGAAAAGGATTGTAATATGCAACTGGATTGTCTTGGTCCGATCACGAAACTGTCGAACATATGTTCACACATCATGAGCATTTAATAGGCCTCCAGCCTCAACAAATAGGCAGCGTCCTATCAGACTTGGCGTAATTCTGTCCTCTCAGAGCCGCTGCCTTTCCAACACCACTTGCAACACTTAACTCTCGCCGACTCTCGCACCAACTCGTCCAAGGTCATGCAAATGGCGGCTGCAAAGAAGAAGAAGGCACCTCCCCAGCCAAGGCCGTAGCCGATGCCGTACCGGTGGGAGAGGATGGTATGATCTAGTTCTACTGCCACGGGGAAGATTATCAAGGCGACGCCTGTACTTAAGGCTGAAAGATGAAAGGAATAAAACATGTTTAATTTTGTTTTGTTTATTGTTTAACGCCGCACTATTCCAGCGATATGACGGCAGTCTATAAATACACGAGTGTGGACCAGACAATACAGATATTGACATCATGAGCATCCATCCACGCAATTGGAATACGATGACATGCATCAACCAAGTCAGTCAGCCAGCCTGACCACCCGGTCACGTTTGTCGCCTCTTACGACAACCATAGTCACCTCTGACGGCAAGCATGAGTGGCTGAAGACCTTTTATAACCCCGAATCTTCACGAGTACACTCTGTTATTGTTCAGCTATTGACGGCGGACTGTATTTAATTTATCAGCGCCGTCGGAGAATGAGGAGGCGAAATCAACCCAGTCTAGATCTCGGAGTCATACCACTCGATCTTTTCAGCAACCTCTTACGACCAGCATAGGTTGCTGGGGCCCCTATTCTAACCCGTGGGTGAGTGAGTGAGTTGTGTGGGTGTGTGAGAGTGACGAGTGGATGAGTGAGTGATATTCAAGTAATATAACGATCATGTCATCGACATGTTGTCACCTTCAGAAAACATCGTGTTTGGTGTTATCCAATGCTTGACAGAGCAGTGTGAGTGAGTGAGTGAGTGAGTGAGTGAGTGAGTTGGGTTTAACGCCGCTTTTAACATTATTCCAGTTATATCAGCTTAATGTGGGAGGAAAGCCCGAAATGATGCAGGTCTCAGACGTTTACCACTTCGGTTAAACCCACGAGCACGGGTATGGTGCTGACAAACCTAGAAACATAATCGGGGCGAACCGGGATTCGAACCCACAATCATAGGTTTCTGGCGTGCCCAAGGGTGAGTGAGTGAGTTGGGTTTAACGCCGCTTTTAACATTATTCCAGTTATATCAGCTTAATGTGGGAGGAAAGCCCGAAATGATGCAGGTCTCAGACGTTTACCACTTCGGTTAAACCCACGAGCACGGGTATGGTGCTGACAAACCTAGAAACATAATCGGGGCGAACCGGGATTCGAACCCACAATCATAGGTTTCTGGCGTGCCCAAGGGACGCAACTCTGCACAGCGAATCGCGGCGCCTTAGACGACTGGGCCACCCGTGCCCCCCAGAGCAGTGTGCTATTAATCTGCGACCCAACAAAGATGCGATAATAGTGTACGGTATTAGTGTGCGGTTCTAATGTGTAGTAGTAATTAGCACGATTGGTGTGTACTACTAAATTGCGGTATTAATGTACGGTACAATCACACACATCTGGAATTTGAATCAATGCCCAATTAAACCTGGTGGGTTAGCCTTTAGACTACTTCCCCCACTCACACACACCCCACTCACACACAATATTCCAGCAACATGACAGCGGTCTGTAAATAATCGAATCTGGCCAGACAATCCAATGATAGACATCATGAGAATCGGGTTGGTATACAATGCATCAACCAAGTCAGCGATTCACGGGTTTCAACTGGGCAGTGGTCTAAACTTGTTGCGTGCATACTCACCGCAGACGAGGAATATTTCTCCGGCGGAATGGAAGTAGTAAATTTTCCTTGGGAGAGGGGTGGTGCATACGCCACATATAGACAGCATTGACGCCACGAAGCCAAACGTCGCAGCAAATATCATCAGCCCCACCACAGCATTCTGCCAGTCTGAAACACAAGAGTCAGTGAGTGAGTGAGTGGATCAGGTTAAACGCCGCTTTGAACGGTATTCGAGTTATATCGCGGCGTGTCAGCTTAATGTGGGAGGACAGCCCGAAGTGATGCAGGTCTCAGACGTTTCCCACTTTGGTGAAACCCACGAGCACGGGTATGGTGCTGACAAACCTGGAAACAATATCAGGGTGCCGTTACACAAAGCGATCTTAGCGCTTAGACGCTTTAACATAGACTTACGACTGTCTTAGCGCTGACATCTATTTGTGGAACGGAGCCCAGGAATCTGGGTTTCGAAAATAAGATCAAATATTCCTGGCGCGTCTAAGGGACGTAACTCTGCACAGCGAATCACGGCGCCTTAGACGACTGGGCCACCCATGATTTCGAAACATGATCTTGTATCCAACCACGGCATACAAGTAACAACATGACAGACATCGGCTTCAAGATCTATCGTAACGCCTATAGTCCAGGGCCCACTGGCACAAAACGATCTTAGCGTTAAGACAATCGTAAGCCTATGTTCATGTATCGGAGATAAGATCATCTTAGCGCTAAAATCGCTTTGTGCAAGTGGGCCCAGGTACCATACGAGTCGGTCAGTGTATATGATGAGTGAGTGAGTTTGGTTTTACGCCCCTTTTAGCAATATTCCAGCAATATCACGGCGGGAGACACCAGAAATGGGCTTCAGACATTGTACCCATGTGGGGAATTGAACCTGGGTCTTCGGTGTGACGAGCGAACGCTTTAACCACCTGGCTACTCGGCCGCCGCCGCTGACATAATGATGTTAGAGAGTTTCACATGACGCCATCTGCTTGTCACGCCATAACTGACCTAATTTAAATTTTAGTTGCCATACCGAAAGCTATGGTTGTCGTAAGGCAGATCTTGTATAGTCACACAAACATAGTTCACGGAAAAAAGTCACGTGTCATTGGCGTTGCGCAAGTGATTTTACGAGCTGAACGTTCGTGTACCCCTAGATCTTCTGTCTGATGGAATGCACGACCATCCCCTCGTAAAATCCCTTACAATCCGTCAGTGACATGTAACTCATATTCTCGAATAATGTTATGTCGAATGTTTCAATCGACGTTTTAACACGCTTTGAACATTTCTATCTTCGCAACCGTGATTCGTTGGTCGCGGGTTCGAATCCCAAATTCAGCCGGGATATGATCCTCGGTCTGTCGGCACCATATCCTTCTCGTGAGTTCCAGCAAATGTGACAACTGTCAGCCATTTTAGGGCTTCCTTTCACGAGGATCATATTTAGCATGAATCTTGAATTCTGAACCACAGCCACAGGAAGGCGGGGGTTTGACAGCAATACTGACCACACACATTGTCCCCGTTATATCACTGACTACCCACGGTACCGTCTATATGAAAACATTGAGGTACCATAGACACGTTATAAAGGGTCAGGGGAGACGAGTGGTTACACCTCATGTCATTACCGCCGAGATGTTTCTGAAGACATCTGCAGTGATATTGTTCGAGGATCAAAGTTTTACATAAATGACAGTGACCTCACATGTAGATGCTGACACACTGCGTCATTTGATGACGTTCACAACTGAAGGTAGAAAGAGTGTCTGAATAAACAATTCTATTAATAGACCATCGCTGACCTGTATTTTCAACAACAACAAAAAATGTTTCTTTATCGCCATCTGAGAAAATACATCACTGAAATTTTTTCAAAATCAATATCATAATTTCAACATGAAGTGAAACTTTATATATGTAGTGGCAACATTTTACATAAAACATTCAAAAGCTAACATGCCCTTTACACGACATCAGAAATGCATTGAAATCCGTTTATACGCAGGTGACGAATTTCAACCGTTTCTTCAAACACAAAATTTGCAATAAACAAGAAAAATGAATTAATAAAAGCCGCAATATATTCGGCTATCACGCGTCTGTTACCAGACTAAAAAAGCCTTCAATTACGGTAATCCCGCTTGCTCGTCAGATGTTCCTGGGAAAGCGAATATTGATTTGTGTCGGCAGAGAGGGAGGCGAGCGAGCACGGGCGCCATCCATCGCTGGCGCATCATCATTGGCAACCCAGGACTGAGGCCGCTCCATCGCAGAGTCATCTGCCTGTCTCAATAACTGTTAAGGGCCTATTTGATTAGCTGCATGGATTTCCGTGGCGGGTGCTCCCAAACGGGCTTATTTGATTACACGCATGGGTTTGGAATGGTTCGGTTGATTTGGCAGGCGTAGTTTAAATGTATCACTCATTAAAGGAAGAGGGGGGAGCTTCATTAATGATTCAGTAAAGGCTGCGTGATTTGTGGCACGATGGTGCACTGGGTGCACGCGTGCAAACTGGGATAAACAGGGAGTGTTGTATTGACATACACCTTCCTTTATGGGGTTTGACCATCGCGCTCAATATTATTGCACTTATATGGCGACGTTATGTTTTTCATGGCTGCTTGTACTTGTAATGCCGATTTTATAGTGCTAGCCCACTGAGATACCATGCCGAAGTTTAACATGAATACCCCACTCAGACACAGTATACTGACTCCGAGCTGACCAGTCCTTGTTTTAGCCTCAGGCATGGAAACAACAAGTACCATCTTTGAAGTCTTTTGGTTTGACGCCGCAAGGGTATGGAACAACCAGGGACTTGGTGAAGAACACAAGGCAGAAAGCTTGTTTGGTGGTATGGGCTCCCTAGGGAGAATGCACCTTACGTCTTCACCTCCTATCATGTAAGGGGCGATCGGGTAGCCTAGTGGTTAAAGCGTTCGCTCGTCACGCCGAAGACCCGGTTCGATTCCCGACATGGGTGCAATGTGTGAAGCCCATTTCTGGTGTCCCCCGCCGTGATATTTCTGGAATATTGCTAAAAGCGGCGTAAAACCATACTCACTCACTCACTCCTATCATGTACAAAAAGTACAGACAAACCACAAGAAGCAATTTTACATACTATATTGATTCGACAGGGCAAATTCAAAGGAAAAGCTTCCCATCATGCCACAAGTACTACATTGATAGGGTCGTGGCTAAAAGTTGAAACAAAAATATCTTGTTTTGATAAAGTTAAATAATAGTGATCATTACTTTGTACTCAGTCAGCAGTATTCCAATATTATCTGAAAATAACAAAATTATTATCTAACAAACCGTCGGGGTAGGACGAATCGCAATCAGTTGCCTTTTACAACAGACAAGGGGCGTTTGGGGCGTTGGGGGCGTTGGGGGCGTTGGGGATTTTTTCACATAATCACCAAGATGTTTTTGTCAGTTTGTTTGTTTGTTGTTTAACATCAAAATCAGCCACATGACGGCGTTGTGTAAATAATCGAGTCTGGGCCAGAGAATCCAGTGAATGACATCATGAGCACCGATCTACGCAATTGGCCATTGTTCAGAGTGGTTAAAGGTCTTCATTGTCGACTGTAGGGATGGAGCACGGGCGACCAAGTGTTTCAATGTCAATCTATAAAATCCATTATTCCGACATGTTTGGGGTTTTCCATTTAGACCTCATGCCGTGAGAGAACAAACACGCCCACGAAAACTGTTTTAAAACACAACACAACCACATACGCAAAGATCTGTGATCAGATTTTGTTTGTTTGGTTTGTTTTTTTGGTTTAACGACGCTCTCATCATTATTCCAGGTATATGATGGCGGTTTGTATATATTTAAGTCTGGACCAGATAATCCAGTGATTGACATCATAAGCATCGATCCATGCAATTGGGATATGATGATATCAACAAAGTCAGCGAGCCTGACCACCCGATCCCGTTAGTCGCCTCTTTCAAGAAGCTAACATTAATTTGCCACAATCTCTAGTTGTCAGTTGGACTTCCCAACTCAACCTGGATGGGGTACAATTTCACACCAACCCAGACAGGCCCGGACTGACACCCTATATATCTGTCTGTGATCTCTTTACATATATCACCATAAGCACGGGTTGCACCTACAATGTAGCATTGCCCCTACTACTTGCTGTTAGCAAAGGCACTGTCACCTACAACATCCGCTAAACATGGCACCTACTACTTGTTGTAAGCAAAGATGCTGTCACCAACAATGTACACTAAACATGGCCCCTACTACTTGTTGTAAGCAAAGATACTGTCACATACAACGTACACTAAACATGGCACCTACTACTTGTTGTAAGCACAGATACTGTCACCTACAACGTACACTAAACATGGCACCTACTACTTGTTGTAAGCAAAGATACTGTCACCAATAACGTACACTAACGTGGCCCCTACTACTTGTTGTAAGCAAAGATACTGTCACCTACAACGTACACTAAACATGGCACCTACTACTTGTTGTAAGCAAAGATACTGTCACCTACAACGTACACTAAACATGGCCTCTACTACTTGTTGTGAGCAAAGATACTGTCACCTAGAACGTACACTAAACATGGCACCTACTACTTGTTGTAAGCAAAGATACTGTCACCTACAACGTACACTAAACATGGCACCTACTACTTGTTGTAAGCAAAGATACTGTCACCTACAACGTACACTAAACATGGCACCTACTACTTGTTGTAAGCAAAGATACTGTCACATACAACGTACACTAAACATGGCACCTACTACTTGTTGTAAGCAAAGATACTGTCACCTACAACGTACACTAAACATGGCACCTACTACTTGTTGTAAGCAAAGATACTGTCACCTACAACGTACACTAAACATGGCACCTACTACTTGTTGTAAGCAAAGATACTGTCGCCTACAACGTACACTAAACATGGCCTCTACTACTTGTTGTAAGCAAAGATACTGTCACCTAAAACGTACACTAAACATGGTACCTACAACTTGTTGTAAGCAAAGATACTATCACCTAAAACGTACACTAAACATGGTACCTACAACTTATTGTAAGCAAAGATACTGTCATCTACAACGTATACTAAACATGGCACCTACTACTTGTTGTAAGCAAAGATGTTACATAC